CGAGGTGGGTAAAATGGACCCGGATTGTTGTTGGGGGCAATATGCTGACTCTGTAAACCGCTTAGAGAGGGCTGAAAGCCCTATGAAGCGGTATATAAGTCTAACTATTATTGTTAGTTGCAAAGTCATGTCCGACCCATCGCAATCCCATGGACAACGTTCCTCCAAGCCTTCCTGTCCTCTACCATCCTCTGGAACCCATTCAAGTTCATGCCGACTGCTTCGGTGACTCCATCCAGCCACTTCATTCTCTGCCGTCCCATTCTTCTTTTGCCCTCCGTCTTTCCCAGCATGAGGCTCTTCTCCAGGGAGTCCTTCCTTCTCATTAGGTGGCCAAAGTGATCTGGCCTTCTAAAGAGCAGTCATGGTTGATCTCCTCTAGGACCGACTGTTTGGATCGCCTTCAGTCCAAGGGACTCGCAGGAGTCTTCTCCAGTGCCAGAGTTCAAAGGCCTCCATTCTTTGGCGCTCAGCCTTTCTTATGGTCCAACCTTCACAGCCATCCATGGCAACTGGGAAAACTGTAGCCTTGATTAGACGCACTTTTGCGATACACAAACAACAATAACCCAGGGACTCCCCCATCGCTTCCCTGGACGGATCCATCTTACCGGGCCTGCAGGTTTTCAATCTCAATGCTTTTTTCTCGTTCTATCCTGCTGAGCAAGTCTTTCTGTTTCCGGATTTCATCCAGAAGAATTTCATCCGATTTCATCTCTTGCTCTTTCAGCTGCTCTTCCAAGGCATTTGCCCTGTCCGGAAGAAGAGATGTTTCAAATTTAGTGCCCCTTACCCACCCGTGAGAACTCACGCTCTGTGTTTTGACCTCGGCTTCCCCAAAAATCACAAAGCAGATTCCTGATCCCGACAAAACCCCTTTTATTAAACAAATGCTGCGTACAATTTTAATAAATAAGTAAATTGATGGTGGGGCCAAAGATCAGGAGTCTGGTAGCCCCTTTTCAGATTAACAGATATTATTAAAAGGCATCAACTTTTGTGAACTACAATTCACTTTATCAAGATGCAGGGAGGCGGTTAAAGTGATGCAGGATTTAAATTGGGAGTAGGGAAGCTGCTAATCTGAAAAAGTGTTTCAAGATCCTTCCTGTGATATTGGCTAATCGCAGTCTTCCTTGGCAATTTCAACAACAGCCTGATTTCTATCATAGAGGAGCATCAAAACAGACCATATCTGGCAATGCTGCACGCCTTCTCTAGAAGATGGCTTTCCTATCCTCTTTGTGGTGCAATAAAGCACCTGTGAAATATGAAAAAAAGCTGGAAAATGATAATATTTCTACACTCCTGTTGTGGCCTGTCAGCAGCCTGCGGAACTGGCAGCAGATTCGGACAGTGAGGAAATTGGGGAGGAACCTGGGCCAGTCCTGGAGTCTGGGGAAGGCTCTGATGAGGGCTCTGCGTTGGAGGCAGAGAGGGGTCCAGGGCCATCTGACAGTTATCAGCTGCCTTCAGAGTCAGAAATTAGTGAGGCAGATGAACAGCTGGAGCCTGTTCCCAGTGGGCACATGCACAGAGTTGCCAGATGAAGGGAACGGCTGAAGAACAGGGGTAAACTTGGGAGTAAGGACACAGGTGGATGATGAAGGGCCCCTCTCAGAGGAAATAAAAGGGGAGTGAAAGAGGAGAGGAGTTTGCAGGAGATAATTAGTTCGCTTAATTGGTTCGTGACTCTCCGAGACTCCTTGCCAAGTTCTGCAGAGTTTGGCAGCTCTCCAAGCCAGATAAGGTCTGTGACTGTAAATCCTCCCTCGAAAGACTTTGCTGGATGTGAATGAGCAGAATTCATAGTAAATTAATAAAAGGGTTTTTTGTTGGGACAAGGAGTTTGCTTCGTGCTTTGGTGAAGCCTAGGTCAGAACAACTCTAGGGTATGTAGTAGAGGAGATGACAGTGGAGGCTGACCCCGAGGGAGGGGTGTCAAATGCATCATAAGTCATGAGACCCTGTCCCCACTCAAGAGATCTAAGTCCAGCCCATCTTGAATGCCTTTCTTATCTCCCGCTCATTTCCCTTGACCGTTAGTAGATCAGATTCTAGTGGAGAACTTAAACTTGCAATCAATCTTTATGTTCATTTGCATTGCCGGAATCTCCTGATTTCCCCAGCGCTTGACACATTGGTTCTGTTGAAAAACGTTCTCTTCTCAATTCCCTCTCTTAAATGTGTCTGTTTTTTAAAAGGCTGACCCCAATTTTATTTTTTTACTGCTTGCCTTGAGCAATAATTGTTATTACCCAGCCTAATCCGCCAAAGTCCTACTGAAAAAGTACCATTGACAACGCAGCTGTGTGAAGAAACAATCCTTGTAATAATTGTACCAACCTGTCCATAAAAAGCTGAATTTCTAATCTGGGACTTTCTGGCTGTTCTGCAAGCAATTTAAATGAAACCCCTCTCCAAACAGGTCAGCTTCCAATCCCCAGGCATAAAATTGGGCCCAGGCTCTTTCCAAAGGGACAGTTCTGTTTCTCCAGGTATATTACCTGTGCACCAGCTGAAGGTTTTCTTGCTTTAACCGGCTCTGCTGCTCCCCATTTGCTGCTGTGTCCTTCTCCAATTCCGTCACCCTTTTCTCTAAGAAGATCACCTGCACCGTGCAGACATTGGACAAAATGCCCCCCATCAGTCAATTGCGGAAGGCAGCTTGACTTGAAACAGCTTACATCCTGCAACAACACCTTTAATATTCTTAAAACAACCTCTGCCCTATCCCAGCTCCTCGGGAAGGGCTCGAGAAGTGGATTAAAGTACCAAATTCAGTCTGAACATCTGGCTGACTGTGTGACCAATCGTAGCAAGAATAATAAAAGCCACGGATGAGATCAGAGGTGGTTTATGCTGCCGGTTCGCACAGGTTCAGGAGAATCGGTAACGGCGGCAGCGCAAGGCTCCGCCCATCCACCCTGATTTTTGATTTGATTTGATTTGATTTTGATTTTAATAGCATTTATAAGCCGCCCTTTTCCCTGAGGGGACTCAGGGCGGCTTACAATAATAAAGGAAGGGGAGTGAAGACAAAACATAAAAAAAAAAAAATGTGCAATAACTGAAAAATACTAAAAACACAACATTCTCTCAGCATTCGGGAGGGGCGGAAGAGTTTATCCCCAGGCCTATGGAGTAGAGAGGAAATATGGAGTAGAGAGGAACCTACTGTCCACATCGGTCAGCTGCAACCATCGGTGGTCTGGTGAGGGGGTCTTGGTGGTGTCCTCTGGCAGCTCCTCCGAGAAAGGTCTGCGGCCCTGGGGAGGAAGAAACGGGTCAGACCCCTGGGAGGGTCACTGGGAATCCCCCCCCCCCACTGCGTTCCTGC